TGACGGAATGGACCCAAGAGGACTTGCGTACTCTAGGCACGACAATCTGTAGGAGAGTTCGATCTGATGAAACAATGTTGATAGAGATTAAGAGAGGAGCCTCTTGCCTACGAGATCAAGAAGGGGAACTCTACCTTGACACAGGCCTGTTCGGAATAGAAGGTGAGCACGAGATAAGATATGACAGAGGAAGATTGATTGGAATCATGAGGGCAGTGAAGGATTAGTGCAAGGGAGACTAAGAGAGAGAAAGCTTCCAAGATCAAGAGCAGGATTAGGATCCATGCGAAGGGAGTTGACAAAGGATGAGGAGATGTAGGAGGCTAGAGGAGGGGAAGTCGAGGAAGTTGGTCCGTTCCCTTAACTCTATATCGAAGAGAGCAGTGATCCCATATGAGATCGTGAGATACGAAGGTCTAAAGAGTCAAGGATGAGGGATTGATGGTATGTATGTCATCACCAACTACTTCATCAACCTTGATGAGTATGATGTGGGAATATACGTGCCGCAACATCATAGGTTTAAGGAAGACGAAAAAGGTCGTTGTTGGCAACGGGCCTCGAACATAGTGCATGACGAGAAGAGAAAACTCCAACAATTAAGGGCGAATTTCTCGTGGAGTACCTACGTTAGGCCTTTCATTGGAATACCGTCACCACCAGTTGAAGGGTTTACGCTCGCTAACAATGAATGGTCGGCCGTAATAGACCTCGTATGGAAAGTGAAGGGGACACAAGACGAACTCAAAAATGTCGGGAGCAGTAACTGATGAAGAGGAAGTGAATCGGGTATCCTTCGCAGGGACTATAACTTCGATTATTCGGATCCGAACCTCTAGAGCATTGGACACATTAGATTGCCGACGATTGGCACAAGCAGCTATACAGCGCGAAAGACCAAGGGCACTGACACAAGTTAGAACAAAGAATCGCATAGCCTACAGTGTGATGATCTGGTCGAAAGGATGGATGAAGTGCGAGATAGAAAAGGAAGAGACAATTCGAGAAGCACGAACACACGTGTAAGGGGAAGACATCCAAAAATTGATGCCATCCTAGAACTATAATTAGACCCAATTGAGAGGAAGGTCGAAGAGTCGCTAGCAAAATACCACGAATGGCGTGGCTCTACGGACGAAGCTGGCTTAAATAAACTGGAAAAAAGCGTCGAACGTCTTGTCGCAATCTATAGAGAGGAAAGGGATAACATTATAGGATGACGATATGATTTCATTGTCAGACTACTGAAGCAAGACCGAGAAGACACTAACAAACAAAGGAATGGCTAATGTCGAACCGAGAAGGCAAAAATTTAGTATCTTAGGCAGAGCAGAAAGAGAAAGGTCCTTAGTACGAGTCCTAGTGAAAGCAGTACATAATGAGCAATTAAGCCAAGAAGAGGAAACCGAGTGCGCCACAAAAACAGTAATAGAAGTCAAGAAGTGTGTCGTCTGGAAAGTTGCAGGAGAGCTCTTTCTCGTAAGAATACAAATCCTCACTGTCAACCCTAGCGGACAAACAATCTCACACACCTGAAGAGAGACAATAGCCACATCTGTAGAAAAATTGAAAAGGACGCTCGAGCTCTAGGAGAACTTGCCAACATAATAGTTGATTGAATATCCTTAAATACGTTGGAGGCAAATGCACGCTACCTAGAAACCGTTTTAGCTATCGCCTTAGTCGTCAAAGCTGAAGGAAAAGAAGAGGACTTCAACACATTACAAGAGCTACTAGAAGAATCGACAGAAAAAAGTTAAAGTTGTCTTGGATCAACTTCTGGAAGAGTGAGGGAAAAATATGGACGCAGAAGGAGTCTATCTATCCTCAATAGGTGGAGAAGTCAAAACACAAGAATCAAGGACGAGTACCCCTGTTAGAAAAATGACAACTGAAGTCACAAAGGACGCCGAAAAATTGAGGAAGGCCCTAAAAGAATTAGAAAATACAGCCACAAAACTTGAGGAACGCACTTCCAAAAACGAAAGGTGGAGGAAAGACGTTCTAATCAGGAATAGAGTAGCCCGATTCTCGGATCCCGGTACAAGGGACCCATATAGGGAAACCACGAGCCAGCCTTACAAAATGGCATATGCACCAGGCTCCTATGTATCCCCCTTCCTAGGAGCACAAACCTTCCAATTACTGCTACTGTCCGGAATCCAAACAATCTTTACAGAAAAGAATGTTTCAGAATTCTTAGACGACTGTGTGGTACTGGGGATGAGAGCGGAATGGAGCGATCAGGATATGATTATAAATCTACTCCACCAAACAGCCCCCAAGATAGATCGCGAAGTCAGCGAAGCCATTCCGGACAGTTGGCGTTGGCTAATATTCAGAGAAAGGATTACAAGAATCTTCGCATGGGATGAAACATCCTATTCAATAGAAGATCTAAAAGAAATGAAAAAACAGGAGGACGAGAGTCTAATAGCGTTCGCAAGAAGATATGAGAAGGCTTCAAACCCTTTAGTAGAAGGTGGATTTATGGGCGAAATAGAAAGGTGCGGAATATTCATAGGATTTCTGTCTCGAGAAAAGCGAGACAAGATTATGAGGGATCTCCCCTCTAAGGTAACGTTCAACCAAGTCAAAGTCTTAACCCATGACACTGAAAGCCAAAGCGCAAAAACACACCTCGCGAGGGTTCTTGATAACCTAGGAAAGGCGTAACTACAGAAAAAGGAGGAGGAAAATCGCAATTCGAGGATAGGAGACCCAAAACCGAAGGAAGGGAAACCTATGCGAGCTCACCTAGAAGAGGGGGCACAATAAAAAACGAGGGCGAATGGAGAAAAGGAAACAGGAGTGACTGGAAAAGAAACGACGCGGAGTGGGGAACCTCCAAGTGGTCAAATACAAAGGATAACAGGTGGAAGCCAAAAGATGAGATAGAAGCAAAAAGACCAGACAAACGAGAAGAGGAGATGGCAAGACAGATAGAAGTACTAAAGGCGGCAGTAGAGAGATTGCAAAGTAATAACCAGGGAAAGGAGGAAACCCCTGTCCGGACCACACGCGACAAAACCGACCCTAGCCCAAAGCGAACGTGGAATAATAAAGCATGTATATACTGCGAAGACGAAGACCACCGCAAAAGAAATTGCCAAGCAATGTTAGACGCACTAAAAGATGGCATCATTGAACTCGACGATCGAAAATACGTCATCTGGGCTAATGAAGGCAAATCGGTCCCCTTCCTGCCCTCGATGAAGATTAATGTGTATATCCGAAGGAGGAGGATGAATGAAGCAAAGGGGAAGCAATCCCAGGATCAATTACCAGCCAAAATCTCCCGAGTCACCTCCGAAGATGATTTAGACGAACCACCTGAAAGCCCAGGTATAACAATTTCATCCATTAAGTTTGAGGAGACGGAAAATAACGGAGAAGTCTACGTACGTACCCACGGCATCGGCGAGGTCGGCGAGTCAAGCAACACAAAGAAAGAGGATCAAGATCAACCTATGACAGATGACCAAATTGAGTCGCCCAAGTCACCACAATCCCCTAGAAAAAGAGTAGCTAAGAAGTTTCACATAAAAAACTCGCTAGACGAAGTCGATTTACGAGAACCTTTAATAAGGCTCATGGATATGTCAATCCCTATAACCCTCAAGGAATTCATAGCGGGTTGTGGTCCGGCAAAAGATGAATTAATAGGCATGATGAAGAAAACTAAATTACTGCTACAAGAGACAACTTCTGAAAAACAGAGGAGGAGGTGAAAACCTCAGTCCTAACGACACTAACCGAAAGAGACAAACGAGTACAAACCAGCGAAGGCGGAAGCAACTACTTTTACGTCCTTGCCAGTGGAGAGCTCAATGTCACAGTCAATGGCATGAGGATGGAGGCTATAGTCGACGATGGGTCTGAGTCCACCATTTGTGAGGACAAGGTGGCCAGAAACCTTGGCTTAGAAGTAGACAGAAGTGTAGCAATCACCATGATATCCGCTAACAAACTCAAGCAACCTGTGCTCGGAGTATGCCACAAAGCTAAGATTGTAGTCGCGGGAGTTGAGGTCACTGTGCCCGTCTTTACAGTTGAGAACTGTTCGTCAGAAATAATTCTTGCAAGAACATGGCTGACACGGGTCAACGCCACCACCGAAAATAAGCGGGACGAAAGTCAGACAATTACCATAGACGGACCTTAAGGTAGCAGGCTTACCCTGAAGACCGTGAACGAATTTGACAACCGTCACAAGATTTCATTGCAAAATAGAGGACGACTGAACACAAGAAGTTGCCAGATGATATCTGAAGATCTTACATTAGGACCGCATAAAGTGAGAGGAAAAAAGTTAGACGTCGATGACCTCGAAACTAAGTACGTAGTGGACGGAACAGTCTATGAGAAAGAGGCTGACGACGAGGAATTCGGTGGATGTATAAACCTTTTTTTTTTGGAGGAATTCCCCCACACGGCGGGGGAAAGAGATACAAAACTGTAGCCCAAAAAGTCAAGCCAGCCGCGGTCAGCCGTGATAGGACCGGGGAAATAAGGATCACTGAAGAAGAAATTACTCAGATGATCCGGGAACAAAAAGCCACTGAAGGGCAGAGAATCACTGAAGACAGGTTAAAGGAAATGGATATAGGCGACGGAAACATAACGGAAAACGAGAGAGAACTCATAATAGAAACATTAAGATCATGCGACAAGGCATTAGCCTTTTGTGACGCAGAAAGAGGGCGAATGGATCCACGATATGTTAAACCTGCGAGAATCTATACAGTTCCTCACACTCCATTGAACGATGCGGGATGAAAGTGTGCGCAAAAGGAAAAGGAGATGATAGTAGACTTCCTGAAGGAAAAAATAAGGACATTCGAAGCGGAACCTTGTGAGAGCACCTACGCAAATCGCTGGTTCTTTATAAGGAAATTAAACGGCTAACTACGATGGATACAGGACTTGCAGAAAACAAATAAGGTCACAGTGAGGGACGTTGGGTCCATCCCAAACGCGGATCTCCTATCTGAAGGCTCAGCAGGACGTTCAATTTACTCAGTCTGCGACTTTTTTTTCGGGATATGATGAGATACCGCTAGACTATAGAGACCGACATCTAACTGCGATGCACACACTGTTAGGCTTAGTTCAAATGATGGTGGTACCCATGGGGTGGACTAACGGTGTCGCAGTCTTTCAGAGAGCTATGGTTGCCGTTCTAGGAGAACTCATAGCAAATCTGGTAGAGGTCTTCCTGGATGACTTTCCGATCAAAGGACCATACGACAAAGATGAGACAGAGGTAAGACCAGGAGTGAGGAAATTCGTAGCCACCCACGCAGAGGATATCAAGAAAGTACTAGTGAAGTTAGAGGATGCAAACCTTACAGTCAATGGAACAAAAAACAGATTGGCAGTATCTTCTATAAAGATATTAGGTTACATCTGCGACAAGGATGGCAGACGCCCAGATCCCGACAAAGTTAGAAAAACTTATGAAATGGCAAACTCCCCTCAGACCAGGGTTGTCGACCCCTGGCCCCGGGACCCCGCCGGGGTTCCGGGGTTCCGGGGGTCGGCACCCGGGACCCCGGCCCCCTGTATGGGGGGGGGAAA